TCTTTGGTATTCTGGCGCTTCATGGTCGTGAAATCAAAGCTTTCAAGCAGCTCCAAAAGCTCGCAATCATCATCCCATGAAGAGGAGTCAAAACAATCTTTGCCAGCGCACATTGTTCGATCGGCAACAGACATTTCCCTGGCGACAGGGGAGCACTGAGTCGCCGGTGGTGTACATGGTGAAAATATCTGATCATCAATGGCATGGAAGGTGCAATTTCTCCGGCACACAAGGGAATACGCGTAGACACAGAGGGCCGTGAATGTCGTCACAAAATAACAGACAGGCTCCATGACATCCCAACCGTACACAATAAACGTCAGATACGCTAAGACAGTCATTTGTGCCCCGCTAAGTAACGAAACAATCGCCCAGAATTCGCGACGACGAACCCCACCTTTCTGCTCAACTCTCAAAGTAGCACAGGATTGTTGAACGGGGCATTGTTGCAAATTCATCGGATTTCCTCGAGAAAGGGTAGGAAGTTCCAACTTTAAATGTACGGCATTCACCACATCAGAGGGCCTAATGTAGACGTACCCACCAATGACGATTACTTCCCGTGCATGTTGGAGCTTCTCTAGGTACTGCGCAGCCTCACACTTCGTCATGCGTTCATGAGAAGGTGCATACAAGTTTGTGGTACATATTGCAATAAAATCCTCCGTTGTGATTATCCTTTTACCGCTGCAATCCAATGCACATCGTGCCCGCAGTTTCTTTTTGAGACATTGAATACTCATTGATGAATCCCATAGCGCTCGTGTCTTCTGAATCATGAGCTTCACACTACCCGACAACAACAAATTAAAAAAAACAGAAAAAAAAAACACGGCTTTACATAATCGCCCACACACAAGCATACAGGCAAATATACACATATATATATATATATATTCTTCTGAAGAGGAGACACTTATAATTGTATAATCGTCAAAATACCGGCTGCTATTCCTCTTTTTCTTTTTTTTTCTTTCTCTTTTCTTTTTGCGGAGCTCCATTGGAGAAGCCTTTTTTCTTTTTTTTCCTTCCTTTTTTTTGTTTGTTCATCTTATTGCTGCTGTTGGGTTTTCACCTTTGCGAGTGAATACACATTGACACGGGAGAAGAGGTAAAAGGAGTTGGCAAAGGTTCACAAATCCATATAAAAGACTTCGCCTGCGGCATTAAATCTGGTCCAAGTAGTCTTTCAATTGGTCCACAGTGAAAAGCTCAAACTTTCCCTCACTCACCCGTCCTACCTGCGTGTTTTCTGCTGTCATCGTTCCATCAAAGCCTTCCTTCAGAGTCAGGAGGGCTGTATGCACCGCATCCTCTATTTCCATTTCATTTGTGTAGCGCTTCTCCAGGAATGTTTTGGCGTCGGTGCTTCCCTTGCCAATCGAGGTGGCCTTCCACGCCCAAAAAGTGCCACTGGGGTCCACCTGATAGAGATGGTTGCCCTGGGAGTCGGCACCAGCAACAAGAAGCGAGCAGCCAAAAGGTCTAACACCACCAGATTGCGTGAACTCTTGATACAGAGAGCTTATGTGACGAACGAGTTGACTAACCGGCATGGGCTCATGGTACGTCAGACGGTACTTTTGGCACGCTTTTCGGGCAGCATCAACAAGCACCCGACAATCGGGACCAATTCCGCTGTAAGTGCAGCCAACATGATCATCAAGAACAAAAACCTTTTGCACCGTCAAAGATGCAGCAAGAGGAGATGTCGTCTTTTTTTCTGCGGCAATGACCACTCCATCCATGGCCTTGACCCCAAGGGCGGTTGTACCCTTACTCGCGGCTGTGGTTGCGTATTCAATCTGCACAAGCCTCCCCGAAGGGCTGAAAGTAGTAAGGCCATACGCTGATTCGGACATGGTGCAAAAAACAAAACAAAGAAACAAAATTATAGTAGCAAAACAAACGACACACACACACAATATATATGTATATGTATATATATTTCTATCTTTGAGCTTTTGTAATACCCTTTGCGCGCCAAACAAATCCTCCCCAAAAGAAGAAAAAGTCGGTAGTGTATCCGTCCTGCAGAAAACATGTGGTATTACTCTTGTTCTTGTTTTACAAGCAATTTCCTTCCAGCCAATGCCAAAAATAAAGAAAACCACCTCCCGTCATCACCACCAAAACCACCTCTCAAAGAGTCATTCGTTCTAATAGAGTAATTATCCCTACAGAGACATTCATTACCCATGCTATCCCAGAACTAAACTAAAGGGGCATATCATTTTCCCTAATCACTATGTTCTCTCAGTATTTTTCGTTTTTCTCTCTCTCTCTCTTTTTTTTTTTTTTTTTGAGTTTTCCTTCATATATATATATTTTTTTCTTTTTTAGTTACATGCCCCTCACCTCCCCCCCCTTTTTTTTTCCTTTCCTTGTTCCCTACCCCCAACTCAATCATACACGGGCTTCTTGCCATTAACAAAGACATCATGAAGGATTGGCGCCTTCTCACGAAAGTCCGCTGCATCCGCATCGTAAAGGGGCTCAAAGTCGCGATCCAACCAAAACTCATAGGCGCCTTTACGATTCTTCTTCACGGGCTGGTACAACGGCTCAAACTCCTTCCATGGCTTCACACCATAGAGGATAACGTGATCAAAGTGTCCTAGGGCACGCTTCTCTTCCCACTTCTCCAGCCACGACTCCTGCATCATTCGCTCTAGGTACCAGCGCATTTTCTTGCACATAGAGTGTTCCTCGCCCCAGTTGCCGATGCAGTGAAGCCATTGATAGTAGGCAAGAATTCCATTTTTCTGCTTGTTGGCTGTGTAGCTGAACCGTGGGTCACTGAAGTCGGAAAAGTGAGGAACGGCGGGCATTTCCTCCCGTTGAATCTTGTACTTTTTATGATCAGCGAAGGGCATTTTTGACTGCTGCAATTCTTTCCAATGCACACAAGCACTCACACAGAAATGCAAAAAAAAAGAAAAAAAAAGTGAAAGAAAAAAGAAGAGATAATTCAATCAAGAAGGACAAAAAGAAAAAAAAAATATATGTAAAAATGAAATGCTCCATTTGAATAAATGGTTTTTTCCAGGTGTATTTTATGCGTAAAGGATATACACGTAAAAATGAATAAATAAACCAGAGGAAAACAAAAATCAGTGGCTCTCACAACGACGAAGCTTGGCGTTTCCATTGATAAGGCGCACGTCCAGTTCGTGCGCCTTACGTACTATAGCCTTGCGCGACTTGGCCCCCACAGTGTGTGAGATGACACCAGCGTACTTGCGGTTCTGCATGAGCAGCATGTAGAGATCCTGCACGTTGTGAATGGGGAAGTTCTTGAATCCCGACGGGGTGATGTACTTCGTCTTGCGGTCGCTACCGTAGCCCTTGTTTGGCATCGCTTTCTGTCCCTTGTAGCGGCGACGGACCGGTGAATCCTCACCCCGGGGCTTGCGCCAGCTGCTGCTGAGCTGCGGGAAGAGCTCGCACTTGTGGCGCGTGAACCTCTTCGTGCGCTTCTTCACGATCCTCTTCTGAACGAACGGCTTCACCATCCTGAGCCCCTCTGCTGGACAGAGTTGCCACGTCCGTTCAACAAGAAATAAGACAGCAGCGTAAGAGAACAAGAAAAGGAAAAAAAAAGAATTGCAGGCACTCGTACACACAAGACAAGAAACAGCGCTACACTACAAATAAAAAAATAAATGCGTGCTGACATAAAGAAGTACTGTCCATAAATCCTTTTTTTTTTTATCGGGGAATATTTAAATCTTTTGGGTAAAGTTCCATACACACAGAAAAAAAAAAAAACGGCGGCAGCGGCAGCAGAAAGCAGAAACATTCGGTCAATGAATTTAAAGGTGGCAATATCTCCTTTTCGACAGCAATGGGTGAAAGTGGCTGCACGTCTGTCATCGTCAGAAAACTCGCCTTCTTTCACGGTTAAACCCAAAACAGCAGGCAAACACCCCTTTCGTTCAGAATATCTTCTACACTCCAAACTTTTTCTCGCCAAGACATCAAGAACACGACGCGGCACCTATGCACAAAAGGAAACGACTATCCCAACACGGCAGCTGCAGGCCTTACGCTGGCCCACCTCCTCAACAGCAGCCTCAAAACAGCAAAAACGACATTCCATGCGTGGAGAACTCAGGAAGTTGGGTGCGAAGGAAACAAGAAAAGAAGCCAAAGCCTCAAACCCCACAAGTGACGTAGGTGGATGATAGCGCAATCATCATTAAGAGGGGTTCGCAACGATTGTTAGCGCGTGAATATCACCTGACAAAAGCTCCTCCTTGAAAAGATCATTGACCATTCTGTGTCGCTTGAGAAGCGGCATGCCCTCAAAAATGTGAGACACGATGGCCACACTGTACTTGCGGTCTTCTTCACTTATCGCCGTCACTTCACACGAAGTGGGCTCCAAATTCGAGCGAATCCGCGCCTCAATTTCAGCCACAGCAACCATCTTTTTTTTTTCTTTTTTCTTTTCTTACTTCGTTCTCTCGCTTCTTTTTTCTTTTTCCCTTAATCAACCCGCATTTTTACCCACACAATCAAAAAATAAAACAAACAAATAAATAATATCAAAACAACAATTGCATTGCAAGTACGCAACTCCACCTCTCCACTCTTTAAATGGGAGCTGCCGCCAAAATCAGCGCATTAAAATGATCACCGCCAATCCACGCCGTCAAATCTAAAGAAACCCCTGTCGTCAAAAAGTAAAAAAAAAAAAAAAAGCGAAAGAGGTAGAAACTACATATTTTGGTAAAGCATCTTTCCCACTCTCTGAAGGCGACGACGACCTTTACACCACTCTCGCCGCCGTGTGGCAACGTCTGCAGGCCAGATGAGACGGCTTAACGCGCATTCCAACAATAAGTCAGTGGACACACGCGTATTTGCAAAGGTATCACTTTTCTTTTTGTGTACTCGCAAAACTGGTGGCTCAGAAGAGGCGAATACCAATTCAGATGTGCCCGCAGGAACGCAAGCCGGTTTATTATTATTGTCCGCACAGGGAACCTCATCCCGTTGAAAAAAACTTGGTTTTATGTTGTTGCGTTCTGTATCCGCTGGTGCATCTATTAACTGGCGCAACTGCTCTGCAGCGGCCAGCAAGTTTGAACATGAGGACACTGATTTTACCGCAACTGACATGAAACTCGGATCGGATGGACTGGAACTAACAGATTCTGGCGACACCACAGAAGTCTCGGAATCGCATGAGAGGTCTGCAATACCCTGTAGACTTTTACTCCGAACTAAAGAGGATGGCGGACTTCTTCTTTCATCCCCAGCACTGCTAATTATTTCCAATGATTTCATTTTTTCTCTAGACAATGCCCGAAATTGTTGCTGCTGCCGCTGCTGCCTTTTCCTTCGCTTTTTCTCTTCCTCCAAAAGTTCCTTTTGCCGCATTCGCTCTTCCTCTTTTACGGCCAATTGTTGTTGCTTTGCCGCATAAAATAATCGCTCGTGTGCCATCTGCGCATGCGCCTTCAAATTTCTCTGAGAGTTTATCCTCGGTACAAATGTTAATTCTTCGTTCAACGGCGGTGTAGAAGGCGGCGGGGTCGAGTGCCACAACTGCAACCCATTCCGTTTCTCATACTCATCAAGAGCCATGCCAAAGGCTCTCCGAGAAAAGGCCCCCAATAAACCCGCCTGCTGCAGTGCCTCACGTATTTTTTCAGCAACCGCATTCGGTGGGAAGACGCCCTCTCCATGTCGATGAGTAAAAAAAAGGTACCAGTCATCTATCCTCCGCCGTCTGGCGCGGAGGCTCAGCTCCTCCGTCACAGGGGAAAGTTGAGGTGCAAAAAGCAAATTTTCCTCCACGGAATGATCACATCTGCTCTTCTTCAAGGGTTTGGAAAGACGCCTCACGACATCTTCACTGCTCACATAAAGGGGCATTTGGGAGTGACCCACACCCGTCTCTTCCCGCAGCTTCCGCAGCGCCAACTGACGTTTTTCCTCATACATGTACAGACGATCAATATGGATCTTAATATCACCAGCGGTTCGTTTAACTGAAGAAATATGCTGATTCACACCCTCTTCGTCCTCTGCCATTCGACACCGACGTCGAGCCGCATCCAGATGTAATCTTTCTTCCACAGGAATCACGGGCGCGCTGTTGCCTCTAACCCGACGGACTATACGCTCAGAGCCCTTTGAAATTTTGGGAGCAGACTGACACTGCCCCTCAGACTCAGACCTCCATGCTTCAAGAAGAAGACGTTGACGAAGTCGAGTGTCACGCTCGTAACACCCAGGAACACTCCCAGAGCGGGGTATTGCCTTGGCACGGTTCGTGATTTTTGGTTGAAAGGAATACGCTTTAAACTCATTTTCCCGTGCCGCACGAATACTCTCCAACTTTTCTTCTAATTGCTTTCTTGTTTTAACCCCCCTATAATACAGTTCTATCAGGCAATCTTTGCGCCGCTGATGAGAAGGCTGAGAACGATGCGAAAAGTCCCCAACGGGAATGTTTTCCGCCATCAGTAGGGATTTTCTGCTTTCTAATGCCTGCTGCTTTCCATCATGATTCATAAATGTGCTCTCCGGTGGAATAACAAGAGAAGTCTGCAACTCATGCCTAGAAGGTGTTTTCTCTGCGTCATCACCAGAGCCTAAAGAAGAGATGTTGCTTTGATCGCCAACTGGAAGTCTTCGCTTTTCCCCTTCTGTGTTCTCCATGTCATCCAAATGCACATCTTCTGCTCGTTTAGGAGAAACCCGAAGACTAGTAAATGAATCTGATGAGGACGGAATGACAAGGTCTTTCACGGAAGCAGGCAGCAAACCATGACTGAAGGAAATTCCCAGTCTCTTCAGACAAGGTTCACTGCTTCCTTCAATATCCACACGGCGGGAACCACTTCCTTCTGAGTCTGTCTCGATGGCAAAAAAATGTTTTATTTCTCTCGTTGGTATTCTACCCACCGCATCACTCGACCCAATTTTAGGGTTCTTTCTAGCGTTAGATGATGAAAATAAATTGGACTTCAAGAGCCCAATCTCTTGATGCATTATCTAAAGCACTATTCTTTGCGCACCCACAGGCAACAAAAACCCTTTCTAAAGAGGAGCTGCACAAATTACAAGAAAAAAAAAATTGGGAGCATAAAATTCGCGCACTCTTGGCTTCCCCACCCTCTTCTTCTTCACACCTAAACAAACTGTGAGGCACTACACATTAATAACCATCTTTGATGCTTTCTCCCCACCCCCACCCCCACCCTCCTATTATTATTATTTTTAGGTTTCTCCGCTACACAGTCACTCCTCTGGAACGAATTCCACTGCTGTTAGCACAGGCAACCCATTCAAAGCTGCTGAATTGCAGCCTACCGTATCCGCTAGGATTTTGGGTGTCAAAAGAGGTAGGCCATTGGGCTGAATGGCATCCTCCGACTGTGACTTCGACACGCCGTCCGCGGCCCCGGTAAAACTCGCATCCAATTCTTTTCGTTTGTTTGCCTCAGAATTTGCCTTGTCAACTTCTTCCTGAAGAAGTTTGATTCTTGATTCCAAATTATCATTCGTTCTAGATAAGGCGTTAATTTGTCCCCGCAATTTACCGAGAGAAACTGAAATCTCTGCTTTGCTTCTCTTTTCCTTCTCCAGCGCTTCTTGGGTTTCCTTCAATTCCGACTGCAACTTTTGAATTTCCCGTTCAGTGCTCTCAGCAGCGTTTGCTGCCGTGGCGGTGGGCAGCGGTGTGGGCATTGCAGGCATTGGGGGTGCCATGGTGTGCAAAGATGTTACCGGGCGCTCTGCTCCCCTATCAGGAGAGACACTTCCTTCGTGCCTCTTGCCCCGCCGCTGGGATTCCATTCGCGATCCCTTTTTGGCACTCTCATCCTTGCGCCGAATTTCATACGGTGAGTATATTTGAAACGCCTTGAAGGCAGCAAAGCCACTGATCAACGCAGCGCCCACGCCAATAATAACATCCCTCCAGTCGGTTTCCTTGGCCCCTTGAGCCGTCTGTGGAAACGGCGGTGGTTGCTGCGTGTAAAGCGGCCCAGCGTGAGGCATAAAGGGGTGCTGTCGCAAAACATAAGCTGCATCATTCCCCACGTGTCCTGGCGCCAAATTGTTGTTGGTAACCCCCGATACAAAAGACGGTTTATTCATTATTTTTTTAATCTCATCCAGTGGGATTGTTTGCCCTGCCTTCTCAAATGCCTCGCAAACCTCCTCCGTTGTAAGGCCCTTCGACTTTAAAAATTGTATTTTATTTGCTGCCGGTGTGATTTTCACACGCGAGTCGTGAAGAAACTGCACGGCGCTTGAAACGCGTTTGCGCTTCTCTGATTCCTCGGGACTGATGCGCTGGCGAGCATCGCCATCACCTGTGACACCTACTGTTGTGGCTGTGTTCATGATGAACGACTTCGAAGGTTTCCTTCCCTGTTCATTACGCAGAAAAAAAAAGTTTGAGCAGCGGAAAAAGTCCATTTAAAAGACTATGAATATCTCCAAATGCGCAGCATAAATATTCTCAGTAACACAGGAAACGCGTAGGATCAAAAAAAAAAAAAATCTCAACAACAACAACAAAAAACACATCTCATTTCCTACAAGGTACCGTGCAGTAAAGTAAAATAAATTAAAAGAAAAAAAAAGGGGGGGAAGAAAAAGACAGAACCATAAAATGCATCCGATGCCGTTACTCTTCCGTCAGTCGATCAATGATTCTTTGTATTTTTGTCTGATCATATACTTCCAGCTTGCCTGTACATGCAGGAACAATGGCAATCTCAATGTTGCTTTTGGTCAGTTCTTCTTCCATCACCTGCTTCAGGATTCGCACTGCAAGCGTTTCTGCCTCCTCAACAGTCATGTTGCGATGATAAATTTCATTAAACACGGTCTGAGCAGCTTCGGCACCAGCACCAATCGCTTGAGCGTCGTAACGTGTGTAGGTGCCGCTAGGGTCTGTTTGCCAGAGCTGTGGACCGTTTTCATCGACACCGGCAATAAGAAGTGAAACGCCAAATGGTCTGGACATCAGCTTCTTGCGTCCCCCACTTTCACCGAATCGAACAGATAAATCGCAGGTGGCCAACGCACACGACTCAACGCGCATTGGCTCATCGTAGGTGAAACGGTGATTCTGCGCCTCCACACGAGCATGCTCGACGAGAATCCGTGCATCCGCCACCATGCCACTCAATACGGTTCCCATGTGATAATCGATCTCTAAAATCTTATTCATGCTGGAAGGGTCCACCAGCACGGAAGGAACCCGCTTTTCAGCGGCAATTACAACCGCATCGGGGGTTTGGATTCCAAGACTTGTGCTTCCCAGCTTAATCGCCTCAATCGCGTACTCAATCTGGAAAATTCGTCCCTCGGGGCTGAAGGTGTTTACACCTCTGTCATACTCAGTTTTGGAAGAAAACATTGGCGATCTTGCTGAAAATAATAAGAAAACAAAAGAAAAAAAAAAAAAAAGAAAAAAAAAAAGGGAAAAAATAACAGTAGAAAAGAGTGCGGAAGCGTAAAAAGATGAACCCAAGACGTGTTGTAAAATTCTATCCCCTTGTGTAAAACTCCAACACGTTCCCATCTTCCCCTCTGGCCCTTGTGTTTGTCTTTTTCCGTGAAAAAAACAACAGATGAGACAAGAACAAAAATCAGGAAAAAGTAAATAAATTTATTTGCCCCCCCCCCCCCCCCCACCTACTTGAGTTCACGAAGACGACGGACCGTCGAGCGGACAGTGCTGTTGTTCGGTGTGCTCAAAGTGTACGCACCACCCGCCATCGTCTTGCTGCAGCCGTCGCAGCGCCAAATGCCTACAGCCTTGCGGCGGAAGGCAAATTTACCGCAGAACGAACAAAAGTGCCTCGCGTGCTGCGACACCTCGAGCTTCTTGGCACGCTTACGGGGATTGGCACCATAGCGGGCGCCATAGCGTCCCATGACACCCATCTTAACGGTACGCTTTGCCATGATGGCTTCAAAAGGGCTAAACAGTAAAAATCACACATGAAGATGGAGAAAAATATATATATATATCGAAGTGACAATGAAAGAAAAAAAAAAGAGAGAGATATTCATTGAACAGGTAAAATAACAAGCAGCTGACGTAACCATTTATATACATATTTATCTACAAATAAAAAACCATAAAGAGAAAAAAATCCTATGCTTTATAACAACAACTATTCAAGCTACATTGTTGGTAAAACTGATCTAATCAGTCTACTAGTCACCCATAGGGCGTTCGGGTAAACAAAAAAAGAGAGATAAATACCCCCTATAGTATTCATGTCGTCATGACGGATTTTGAGCATCACAATAAAGTAGTATAAAACAGCCCATGCAAAAAAAGTGCCCAAAAATAAAAAAGGGGGCTTCTGACACTTTACATGAAGAAAAACAAGTTGCACGGCGACTCCGGAACCAACAAGAAGACCCGTTGCGGGCTGGAGAATTATAAGAAGACACAACATGACTGCGTTTATCGTCAACCACGACAATTCCCACGCACACACACTCCATGCAATCGTCAAAAAAATGCTACACACAAAAGATCCCCAAACGCCAAAAAACTTGTTTGCACCTGACGCAAGAATAGGCGCCAAAAAAATCAACACAACACGCGGAGAGAGACAAAGCCCCTCTAACTCATAAATGGAATACCCCACCGAAAGCAGTGATGCCACAAGTAAAATAATTCCAAATTGTGCAATATCATACTCTACGTACTCGGTAACGCTTAGAGGCACCCATACGGAGGTAGAGTGATGAAATCTTTCATCCAGATAACTCAAGGTTCCAATAAGTTGTTCATGCATCGCGGCAATATGATGTGCAACTGAGAGTTCATATAAACCATCCGATTTCTCCGTTCCAATGGCCAACATACTGATACCACTTGGCCTGAAAAAATGCCATGGTTGAGGGTTTTGAGGAGCAATTACAGCTGTTTGTAGCGCAGCCAAATAATGTTCATACTTTGAGCGTGTCACCGAGTATGGAATGTGCGGATTTTGGCAAAGAATATCCACATTCAAGTTCCATTCGCGGGCCATTGCGACTGCCACATTAAAGAGATCCTGATTGGGTTGCATTCCATTCTTACCATACACACTGAAACACAAATTGCGTGTCTTTAAAGAAGAAACATTGATAAACAGCGCTGCACGGACAAAGGAGTTAGGGATGGGCCAATGCAATGTACTCCCATTGACAAAGTAAAAGTGTGTCTCACACGCCATATTATTTTTCCTTTGAAGAGAACGAATTAGAAAGTTTGCCAGTATAATCGATGAGTTCTCCACAGTGTTGACGTAAACAGCAATACTTTCCGAGCCCACAGAACGCTGGCCGTGGACAATGCGATGGTACTGGTGTATTGTGGCATCGTGATGAGATGCGTCCGAGCTCGTAATCAACACAGGAATTCCATCAACATTGACAGCACTTTCATCAATAAAGTTCCTTCTCGGCTTTACAGCTGGAATTGCAACAATCAGAAGTACCCCTGCCAGAAGCAGAAAAGGAGCAATATTGGAAGCGTACTTCTTCACCACAGACGCAACACGCTTCCGAAACATCCAAAAAAAGAACTTGGAAAGGTAAAAAAGGAGGTCAAGAACAACGAAAAATAAAAAGCAAAAGACAATCGACATTGAAAAAATAAAAGAAACAATTCCATAAATTAATCGCAATGGCTAAAAAAGTAATAATAATAATAATAATAATAATTAACATCAAAATGATACTAAAAACAGAAAAATATCACCATCGGTATTCATCAATTTTTTTTTTTTGTTATTATTGTTATTCCTCTAAAAATTCCTACAATTATTGGCACTCTTTCAAGCCCTATTGGCATTGGCCGTAATTCACCTTGTTGGCCGTATTGTTCATGAGAAGCGCAATAATGAGTCCGTACAAACCCAACGCCTCGGCAAAAATCAGCATGAGAATCATGGCCACAAATATCTTTTCCTGTTTGCCGTACGCACGAACTGCCGCATCACCAGCGATCCCAATGGATAGGCCCGCAGCTAGTGAAGACAAACCCGCAGCCAGCCCAGCACCAAAGTGAAGATAACCAGAGAACGCAGAGTATGACTGTGTCTCCGTCTTGATATTGTTGTTAATTATCACAGAAACAATAAGACCATATATGCCAAGAATACCTGCCATAACAACAGGCACAATACCGCGCATGATCCGCTCAGAATGAAGGATACCAAGATGGGCCACGCCAACACCAGACTTTGCCGTGCCATAAGCCGACCCCAGGTTCGCAAAAATCAGCGCAGAGGCACATCCCATCGAACCAAAAAACGCGGCTGATTGGGGATACACATCCGCACACGATATCGTCCCGGCGGCAGCAGATCCAGTGGCAACTATAGCAGCTGCCCCGGCCAAGACCACAGCGTTCTGTGGCTTCATTATACCCATAAACGTGTAGGAGCCCCTCCAAGAAGAAGAAAAAAGAAAAAAATACACACACACACACACACACACACAAACAAAAAACGACTATCCCAAAAACAACAAAACACTCGCTAAGGATTGAAAGTCAAGATGAGTTATGGGCAAAATTGACGTGGAGACAAACAGTAGAGGAAATAATTTCAAGCCACACAAGAAGGAAAAGCAAATCATTAATAAATATTTAACAAGAACAACAACAACAAAAAAAGAATAAAACACACACACACACACACACACACTCAAACAGAGAGATACAAAAGTCATAAAACGAGACACTCCCCAGCGCCACGCAACGCGCTACCCATCTAATTCCCTCTTCCACTAATTTCATTTACACCTTATATATATATATATATATATATATATATATCCATTCACTACCATACTAATTAATTTTCGACCCTTCCCAGAATTTGTTGCGCTGAACGCCCTTGGTGGTGCTTCCCTCCAGAGAGCTCATGGCTGAAAGGATTTCAATAAGAGCCGCGGTGATACCGGACTGACGAGTCTTGTTGTACAATGAACTTGTTCGTTGCTTCAAGGTGCTGATGTTTGTCAACTGACCCTCAACTGCCACCAATCGTGCAGCCTGCTCGGAAAGCTCATTTTCCCCAACTGCGTTAAGTATCGCAAGAGAGGCATGGAAATCGTAAAAATCCCGGATAAATTGCTCCTCCTCATTCTGCAGAGCATTGGCAAAAAGGTAACGACTCTTCTGATTCTCAGTACTAGCGGCGTCGGCAAGGTCTTCCTTCCACTTCTCAAAAGAAGGAATATTATACACAGCATGTTTCTGAACACCTGCAGAGACAAAGCGATGAAAAATGACTTGATAACGGTCCGCTTCCTCAGAAACGTTGAAAGCGTTTTCCAAAATGTATGTCGCGTATGCAAAATGCATTGGTTCCCTCATATCATTTATAATGCCATATTTAAACTCATTAGGATAAAGTTTTGACAGGGAATCAATTCCCCTTTTACCAATAGGCATTAGTACCATCTTATTTGACGCAACAAGATCAATGCAGCGAATCGTATTGCTGTTCAAAGCCCCACAAGAGCCTCGATTCGTAGTAATCGGAATGTAAACAAGAGCGTTTTTCGCGGAAGCTACAGCTTCTTTCTCGGAGGCATGAGGCTTGCTGAAAGCCTTTTCAGTATAACGAAGTGTAAAGTCACGTGTTTTGACTCGACCTTGAGCAGTTCGATATTTGGCAAGGGTCACCATTTTTATCGTTTTAACAATCGAATAAAAACGATTATATCCCTCAAGTTTTTCCTTGTACAGGCGGAGTTTTCCTGACATAGTTCCCCTTTTGCTGTTGTTGGTGGTATTTTATTCCTGGAGACAATAAATTCGAATCACTAAAGGCAGACACAATAAATAAATAAATACATAAATAGAAAAAAAAAATAAAAAATATAAAACATAAAAGAGGACAATCAGTTTGGAACAACAGAAAAAACCTGCTGTCCCGTCGCACGCACACGTGCAGCAATAAATAAATAAATGTAATAAAAATTGATAAGAATATATATGTATAGGGGGAGAAAAAAGCGAATCATATTCTTTCCTAAAATTTTTTGCTATTCCTCCTCGAAGGTTTAACAAGTAAGAACTTAAAAAATATTTCCTTGGGTATTTTAATTACGATTTTACTCAGAGTCGTCCTCGGCTTTTCGAGGGCGCTTTGTGGATTTTCTTGGGGCCTCACCGTACTGAACACCCTCTGCATTGGTCTTCACCCCACCGTAGTCTACGTAGTACCAATCTGAAGGCGTATTCCCTTGAGGACGACCGTACTTATCCAAAAGACCATCTTTCATCATCGAACGCTTTTTAACGGCAACAGGTCCCAGACCCCATCGTCGCGGGTATGTGTCGCGATCCATTATTACACGCTTGCTTCGGGCAACAATACCATGGTCCACTGATGCCATTTGCGAGGTTGACATCTCAGCGTATGCAAGAGCAATGGCCTCACCTTTGGTTGTTATCAACACAATAATATCGTCTCTTTCAATTCCATTGTCGAAACGCGATAATCCAGGAATCATAAGCTTCGCGCCATAGCATACTGCATTCACAGCAGAATCCTTCACCACTACACGTCTGTAGTTTGTAAGAATATATTCGCAAGGGAGAATGACACGACGCAGATATGTCTCGTCCTTTTCATTTTCATAAAGCCATTGCGCGTCAAGAACATCGTGCATGGTAGAGACGTGATCATCTTCGCTTATCACCCCCGTTCGAATACGACGAAGTTCTTCCATATGTCCACCCACCCCAAGAATTAGTCCGAGATGAACGCAAAGAGTTCGAATGTAGGTGCCAGCTTCACAATGTGTTTCAAACACGACCAAATGACGATGCTTATCATACTCTACTAGCTGATTAGAGTATATATTACGAACACGAAGCTGACGCTTCACCGCAGCAATTAAAGGTGGCCTTTGAAAGCAGGGACCCGTAAGACGTTGAAGGGCCGCAAGAACCTTTTTTTCACTTACCGTGTCATGAAGACGTAAAACGCCGATATACGTCTTACCAGCATTTTGTTGGGACTTGACCAAACGCGTCGCACGATCAATACAAATAATAAGTGCTCCAGTTACCTTGGGATCCAAGGTTCCTGCATGTCCAGTCTTGTCGCATTTCAAAATGCGCTTGATCCACGACACAACCTCATGTGAACTAGGATTCGATGGTTTATCCAGATTAATCATACCATACTTTAAGTATTCCTTCAAAGGCCTCCGTAGAGGTGACCAACCGCACTCGAGGATTGTAAAATTTGAGGATCGCACATTCATTTGGTCATAATTTTTTAACAAAAGAGGCCACTGTCCCGGGGGCAAAGTGCTTTCGGAATCCTGAGCCTCCAGCGAAATTCGAAATTCCTCGTTCCGCTGAATCTCACCAATCTTCTTGTTGCTCATGAAAAAATAGGCTTCGTGAAAAGCTTCCCCTTCCGTTTTACTGATTATAAATCAAGTAAGCAAATATATATTTAACAATGAAGAGTAGCAGAATAAATTTAATAGTAAATAAATCTAATTAAAAAATTTAGCAGTCATTTTACTTCAGTCCAATAACTTTGGATTTGAAATTCACCAAATAAGCAATGTAGGTAATTTTCTAATTTCCCCTGTCGGCTGTTTCGTTTTGTTCATTTGAGTAAATCAAAAAAACAAACAAACAAACAAAAAACGTGAACAAACAAACAAGCCAAATGATAATAATAATAATAATAATAATAATAATAATAATAATAATAATAATAATAATAATAATAATAATAATAATAATAATAATAATAATAATTTTTAGAGCTCTAGTAGATCCTCAGCACACTTTTCTGAAGCCAATCGAAATGCCTCACGAATAACTTCAGCACGAAAAAAATCCACACTTCGACCTAAGTTGTGTGGTTCATAAGGATCCCGCACCATAATCAACTCATAACCTAAAAGTTCCCATCGCTCCTTTTCGCTAAATCCCCTCATATTTTCAAGCCATCGCTCCTTAGAAAGGCATTTACCTTTGGTTCGAATATCAACAACATCCGCATCAAAGTCAAATTGTCTAGAATCACTAAAGAAACAAAAAAAACCTTTTAAATCAGCCAAGACGTCAGACGCATTTACATCAACACAAGGAATATTCTCATAAAACTGTGAACAATTTATACCATATTCTTCAGAGATTCCTGCCGCTACAGCCTCCAGCATTTTATCGACCCTACTTTCATTGATCACAAAACGACTTCGTCCTGTTGCTTGCATGTAAAATATATACATGACAGTCAGCGCGTAAGGGGAAATCCACCCTCGTCGAGCATCCAGAATTCTCTGAGAAAGACCCCATCTTTTTACACAGAGCGCCCCAGCCCTAAGACGTGGATCAGACTCCATATATAACCGAATCAATAAAGAATTTCGAAAACCATCTAATGAAAGAGAAAGGTCAAACCTCATACCATCATCCCCCGTATTTTTCTTTCTCTTTAATCGAACAATGGGGACTCGTGCCATAAATATGCGCTCATGTTCCAGGCCAGCATAAGGATCCTGATTTTTGATATGCCTGAGAATTGATGATAAAACATATTGATGATGCTCGCGTGATACTTCAAGAAAATTCGAAGACGACGGTTTAAGCTTTTCAAGTCTTGAAAGCTCCTCATGTGATTTTTTTGAAATAAACGCGATGGTATAGTCAGCGTCCCCATCCTGAAATGCGGTGCCGGCCACAAAAGAACCATATATCATAACACAAGGAGACGTGCCGACAGAGGGAATACCAAGGACATTCTCAACCGAGAATCCCTCCAAAAGACCTTGCAACCATTTCCCATTATCGATAAACCGCGCATGATCCATTCGCGTCAATAAGAGTGATCTAAGCCGGGAACTCAAGGCCATCTTTTATAAAGAATAATACTAATACTAATACTAATAATAATAATAATATTAATAATAAGTTTCTTTTTCTTCTTATGTTCTTCTATTCTTTTACACAAGAGATGTTCTATAACCCTTAAAGAAAAAATATATGCAAAAAACAAAAAGACTTACAACCCCAATTTAAATGACAACTGTCGTTCAGATATTGTATACAAGATATGCTACTTTTACATGGGAAAATAACAACAAAAACAATTACAATGAATCGAAAAACTCTTCTATATTATCACCCACAGTACTGCTAGAAAGCAAAGCATCTTCAGCCATCTTTGCGCGCTTCTTATCTCCTCCAGCAATTAGAGCACCCTCGTTATTTCGTTTTCGCAAACTCCTTGGTAACAATTGAAAGGCTTTCGTTGGGAAGCTGTCCCTAACTGTAGAATCCACACGTGCACGGTCAAAAAGATCGTCATAATCCTCTGAAGAAGAGGTAGAAATACTTAAATTTCGGCATCGTGGGTCTAATTGAGATTCTTTCTGCATATCAGAGGTTACGCGAGCCCTCTGTTCAAGATCACTCACCATTCTTGAAACAAGCCTTTTTCTTTCATTTTGTTGGGGAGTCAGAAAAGAAGCCCTGTTCAGTGATTCCAGTTCAGTCCGTAGTTTCACAACATCCACTCGCTCAAGCTTTTCGTTCCACTTGCGTCTCTGTTCCATCTTATTTCGTTCTTCAATTTCCTTTTTTGACAACCTAAAGCCATGGAGACGCTGTTGTTCCATGTTGGGCAAATGTAAATCTAGTTAAAAGGTTCACACACACACAAAACAAAACAAAAACAAACGAACAAAAACAAAACAAAAAAAAAAAAAGAGAGAAGAAGTGTAACAACAATTTGGCCCTAGGAAACCAAACACGACATTTTTTTCCTTACATACTGAGGTATACAGGATCACATAATAATAATACTTTTAACTTTTCCCTTTTTTCATGCAAACACATCAAATTAAAAAAAGGATTCACATGTAGCTTATTCTGTAAAACAACATAAAAGTAACGTGTCAATTTCATTAGAAGAGAAAGGCATATATATATATATATATATATATATATATATATATATATATATATATATATATATATAAAGACATCATCGTTGAATAATAATAATAACAATAATAATAACCTTGTATTTTTTTCCCGAATTGTGTCTTCTGAACAAAAGACATTGTAGGTTGAATAAACAAACAAACAAACAAAATAATAATAATAATAATAAAAAATAAAAAAAAGAGCGAATTGCAAAACAAAACAAAACAAAAAACACCGAATTGCAAAACAAAACAAAACAAAAAACATCGAATTGCAAAATAAAAAAAAAAAAGGCGTCTAATCAGAAAAATCACTCCACTAAACCCTTCACAACGCTGAGTGTCCCCACAACCATAATAACAATGCCAAGACATAAATAAATGTAGACACGTAACCTTATTAAAGTGCATCGTCTGCCAAATAGGTTGTGGCGCCAGTATACCCAAGTCACTCTGGGTTCATGAGGTTCTTCGACACTGTTTTCTAGACACAGTGAAAGCAATGAGGGTAATATTATTAACATGACTACCGCTGGAAGTGCACCGATCAAAGAAACAACAATATTCACAGCACCGGTTCCCGCACCCATTGCAATACCATAAATAATAAGACTTATTACAATTCTCATCAAGATTCCTTTCCACGATCGTGGGGGCCACCCAAGAAGTGAATCAAGTTGCAAGATCCCGGGCATAAAAAGGATGGGATATGTGCATATGATATTGACTGTAAATGCAACACGCACAGCAATGGAAAATGGGTTCACATCAAGCGCATCCACAAGCGAGACTTTAAGCACCTCACCATGGGCCAGATATCCACTCAAACCATACAGCAAATACCAACCAACAACCAGGTACAGAACAACAGTGAGCAGCAGAGAAAATCGGGGTTTGTTCTTGCATGAATTTTCAACTGGTAAAACAACACCAATTCCCTCAAGCATCATCATATTATTTGCCATATTATTAAACCAACCAAGTGGCACAGAAGTCCCAAAAGGTGTCGTGCTCGGTTCCACGCCTTTTTCATGAAGTGTCATAAACGACAGAACGGCTGTAGAAATCAGCGCGAAAAAAACACATATTGTGGCAATGATGGATATAATCGCAAGAAACGACAAGTTGTCGGTAAAAAACGACACCGGAAGAACAAGGGCAAACATAACGGTCATCCAAACATAATCATCTCCTGAAAAGCTTGGCACCAGTTTTGCCATAGATCCACCAAAAAGCTGTAGGTAGAGCAAACAAAACCCGAATTGTGTCAAAAGCAAGGCCAAAAGAAGAACATAGCGAAAGGGGTTCCCAAGTACAAAATCGCAAAGTTCTAAATAATTTGAGACGGATTTCCGGTTTACCTTTGTTTTAGCGCGGACGAGTAATCGAGAACAATCCACAACGATAGACCCAATAAGCAATCCAATAATTGGGGAAATAATGTACCCAGAATCTTTGTAGAAGGTAGGTAAAAGAAAAACGGCAGATCCCACATTTCCCTTAAATATATTAAACGCGCACTTAAAAAGACTGGCGTTTTCAATGACTCCAATGCGAACCTCTTCACTGGCTTCGTCGTCTTCTTGAGGGGTTAAATCCAGTTCAGAAGAAGGCAAATAATCCTCCGACCGTGTTCCATCACGTTCCTCCCAGTCAAAAAGAACAATTCCGCTTTTCTTAACATTTACAACTTTCTCGTCTGTTTTCTCACAGAAGCGATTGGGTTCATTTGGATGAGACATGAATATTTTTACTCTTGTTTTTATGATCTTGTATTCAAAAGCAGAAAAAAAAAAGGTAAAATAATAATAATAATAATAATAATAATAATAATAATAAGCCAAGGGTAGAAACCACGGTTCTAGTCATAATACATGTCAAAATAAAGATATGTGGGGGGAAGAAGGAAAGGCATAATTCATTAATATGAGCAGAGGAATTTGGGGGCGGTCCAAATCCCAAAAAAAAGACGGGATATAACTCACTTTTGATTCCTCATATCCAAAAAAAAAAAAAAAAAAAAAAAAAAAAAAAAAAAAAAAAAAAAAAAAAAAAAAAAAAAGAGTTTGGAAGAAAAAAAGGAGAATTTCGCGTTGAATAATTATCTGTGCCGCTGGCCGGATCCTGAAATTTCCTATGGAAACCAAAAAAAGGTAGGGGAAAAGGGGTTTATCGCAGAGGTAGTTAATTGCCTCATCGTTTTCTTTTCATTCAATATAGAAATTCGATTGACCGTTCGCATGGTCTTTTATCCTCAGTTAGAATCTGAAAGATAATTACTTACGAAGTGGCAGACTTTGCGGTCCTCCAAACACAAGACCCCGCCGCGCGGTGGGAATCAAAAGTGGGTGGATGACAAAGCAAGAATAAAATTGCCTATTCGCTTTCTGCTCTCCGTTCGCCCCTAAAGTTTTGCTTTTTCCGCGTTCATAAAAAAGAAAATATCATAATGAAGTTAATTCGTTCCATCAGGATTTAAATTAATTACGTTAACCAGCTTTCCCGCCGTCACTCTCTTCACAAGCTCCTGAAACAAGGTGAAAACCACAAAAACGACCATACGGGGGCCGCGCCCTCGAAACCACCAGCGACACCCGGCGCGCGGGAGCAGGGAAATGGACGGAGGGCGCCGGTTTCCGACGGCCGCTCCGAATTAATGCCGTCGCGCGTTTGCTGTGGCTGCGGGTTTCTCGCGCGGAAAATGATGGGCGGTCCTGGCGTGGCGTCCTTTGTTTTTCTGGCAAGTTGTTTCCTTCCGAATCCTGCCCTTTTTTTGCCAAAATGGAAAATGAAAACCGATGGTCAGGCAGGTTCTGGGTAAGGCCGTCCATCGTTTTTTTCTTAGCACTACGGCAGGATTGTTATTGTGTGGTCAAAATTTTGCAGAAATTCCAATTCACGGTATCATCGGTGTTGAAGCTGTTTGCTGTGTGTGTGGATGCCGAGCGGGCATGAATGAAGAACACTTCCCCACAATATCAGATCAGGGAGCATGATAATTTTTTTGGGCCATTATCATATCTGTATATAGAGGTTTTTTGTATAACGAACCAGAGGAAAGCAATATATATATATATGATTCGTGAGGAAAACGCCAATGGTATCTGATGCAATTGTGAAAAATAGAGGTTGACTGATTCAAATGCAACGTTTAGTAAAATTTATATTTTAGGTACCAAGAATGGGGGAATGATTTTTTGCTTTCTGTTTCTTAAAAAAGTGAGTATTGGAATTTATGACTACCTTTTAGCTATAAAATGAGTTATAAGATTTCGTATGTTTTTAATAATGAAAATGCCATTATAAAGCCTAGGTTATAATTACAGGAGTTTGCGTTTTGTTTTGCTGCAATATTTGTTGCGCGGTTCAAGAGCAGTTCTTTTTGTTGAATGAAAACCTACATTTTTTTTTTTCACTTTTTGAGGGGATATTTCAGAGACATTTTCTTCTAACGTCGTTGTAAATGGGAATACCATGTTTGAAGCGCTTAGGATGGTAAGTAATTACTTTAATGTGATGGTATCAATATATAGGGTTTCGTACATGTCTGATGTGTTGCCGCTGTCGTTGTCCTCTCCACCTCTCGCATAAAGCACACGCTAGAAGGAAAGCAAACAAGCACTAAACGCCACTGTGAAATTCGAAGGCACCAAAAGAACCAACAACAGCACACACACACATATTTACATGCTCTCACGTGTTGCTACAGTGAAGGCACCCCGCACACACAACCGTCGCCGCGTGACCGGATCCAGCGGAAGGAGGAGGGAAGGAAAAGAGAGTGAGCCGCAGAGACCCAACATGTCCCGGCGTGTGTTTACTTCTCTTGTGCTGCTTTTCCTCCTCGTCGTGATGATGTGCTGCCGCAGTGGAGGAGCTACACACGCTGTAGAGATTAATTCTGGGGGCTTGCAGATGCCGTAATTGATCGATTTTTTTTTCCGAATAAGATGCAGTTGTTGGCAAAAGAGGGCACTGAAAATGGAACAAGGCTTTTGTTTGGCGGCCCCTTTCTTGTTAGTGCTGGTGGAGTAATGGCTGTGCTTGCAGAAATTCTCTTGCCGCATAATTCATTCGATGATCAAGCAAGTCAGCTTCCCTTCTCTGATATTTTTGCGGGGGATGCCAACTCTGTGTGGGATTTCCCATCTCTCACCACTGAGCACAGTAAGGATAAATGGGCATACACTGTGTTTAATACAGTGGTTGGTGAGAATCATTTGCGCTCTGCGTCTAAAAACACAACCATTGCGAAGAGCAATAAGATGTTTCTGCTTGTGGGAAGCCATATGCTCAGAGAGCCTATTGGTCCGCGTTTTGCCGTTACCAACCGGGGTGTAAGTGTGGTTGTTGGTGTGAACACGCAGCCCAAGGACGGCGAGCCAAGTGGAATGATCAACTGGGAAGAATCCAAATATTTCCTGCAACAGATCTCCAAACTCACTTAAGATCACCTGAAGGAATTTGTGACTGCTGGTGGCTCAGGCATTGTGTTGCAGAATGACATGCTTGTGTTTCCCCTGGTGGCGGCGAAGGGGAAAAATCAATCTTTCTCCATAGTCACTTATTCGACGGACAACGGCAGTAACTGGGTGTTCCCAGAGGGCATTTCTTCTGTGGAATGCCTTGGCCCCGCATCACCGAATGGGAGAATGGACAGATTCTCATGATTGCTGAATGTTTTGAAGGCC